CTCTACTAATCTACTCTACGGTTTGGAGGTTTTCTGAAACGTCCTGTTTCTTAAGCGCAAGAGTGAGAACCACATTAAACAACATCCTGCTTCTATGTCAACACACACACACACACACACACACACACACACACACACACACACACACACACACACACACACACACACACACACACACACACACACACACACACACAACCTCTCAAATATACTTTAATCTGTGCACACACACACAGACGCATTCACGAAAAAGAAAAGGTCCACTGAGGGATTTCATGCACACACACACTTGAACACACACTCTGTCACCACCTCCATCCACCACCCTGCCAAGACTCTCACCTCCTGTGTGTAGCAGTTGGCCGGGATGACCCTTTACTTTACGCTGCAGTAGTTTATATGTCTGTTCTGCCTGACTGAATCTCGGTCTCATGGGGAATGGGTTATCTTACCAGGCTGTAGATGGACCATGTCTGGCAACACTGACCTCAACCTCACCCCTCTAACAACTACACCCTGGAAAAAAAGTACACAAGTGAAGCTGAAGTGGTAATCGAAATGCATAACCTAATCAATCTGATGATGGTTATTGGTGGAACAAGAAGCCTCTGATGGACATTCAATCACACTGCTAAAATAATTATGGGTAATATTCTTAGCCTTAATAACCTTATTAATTTTGCAACACTTGGTGTGCAGTGAGATTTGCAACAATGCATCCATTGCTATAGTCCTACCTATAGCTTTTGTATATACTTTGTGGCAAACAAGAAGAAGTTTCAGTATAAGCATCTTGTTTAAAACTGATTACATTCAGAAGGGGCCATCTTTGTTCCTTGAAAGTTGTATATTTGTGTAATACATGGTTGTCATACAAGTATTAAAGACCCCACTGTCAGAACATTTTATTAATTGGCACAAAGGTCAGTAGAGACAAACACACAATGTGACATAAAATACACAGGGATAGACCAAAAATAAGGCATGTTTTTATTTATTTTCAATTGGATATAACAAAACTAAACTAAAAATTGATATAAAAAAGATTGTTATACATATTGCCAATTAGTTTGTGTTACAAAGATTTGTAATATAGCGCACAGTGTTTGTATGATTGTGACTGATAAAGCTACATGAGTATCTGTTTCGCAGGGCTCTAGTACTAAAACAATTATTATGGTTATTGTCAATATTATTTCTTAAAAGAAAATTATCACCACTCAATGGGATAAATCTCAATTTAGACATGTTGGGGGGACCAGAGTGGGTTGCAGGATGGGCTGGAAAGCTGTGAGTAAGTCTATAAACAATTGTATAAACTATTTGAGTACAAACTATTGTACAGTAAGGAAGAGCCATTAGCATGGCATATTCAAAATATCTAATATGGTGATCCGGCAAATGAAATGTCTGTACTAACAGCATTTGATGTATGCTACAATATTAACAGGACTGCTTCCTATATTGACATTTGGAAGGAATCAATCACCCTGACTGGTTTCTCAGGCTCCTATCTGCATCCACATTTTGTTTTCAGTTTTCAATAGGCAAGGATAAAACTATGATTAGTGTAGACCATAGCATAACAAAGGTAACACTGTTGAACATGTGGTTCCACTGATGATATGATTAAAATTCCCTTTGAAGATGGCTTGTGAGCCACGCACACAGCTGCTGATGGTTGACACATATGCCGTGATGGAGCAGGAGGTGGTCAGTGAACACTACAAATCCAGTGAATATCGGGATCAGTGTAACACTCAATATTAATGGGAAAACATTTGCTTATTTGCTACATGACCATATTGGATATGGACAAGAGATCCCCATTCTCTACAGCGATTATGCTTCTGCGCCTTAAACAACATGTAAGATGCATAGTTTTTGCTGAGCTTCAAAGCTGAGTATCCGCTCTGTTTATCAGAAGGGAGAGCCTTACTGCCACTCCTGGCAAATACTAACCTTTAACCAAAACAAAAGACATACATGTGTCTAAATGGCTGTTTAAGAGGTGGCTTTAATTTGATTTGGTTACTTTATAATCTTGAGTTTTAGTCAACCTCTTTTACCTATACAGTATACTCACTAACTCCCTGTCATTCTCATTCTTGATCACACATTAACTAGTCAAAGTCAAAAGTCAAGTCAAAGTCAACTTTATTGTCAATCTTCCAGTTTGTGTACAGACAGAGAGATCAAAAATAACGTTTCCCACAATCCCGAATATAAAAACAAATGTATATAAAAATATAAAAATATGTGTGCAAATATGTATATATACACGGTCAAAGACACATGTTTACATGTGCACACATTAAGACCTAAATAAAAACACAAAAATCAATATATACAAAATAACAGTCACTTCAATATTTTGAGAATGTATATTAGTGTAAGATTGTCCATAGAATGTGCAGATTATCCATAAAGTGTGCAGATTGTCCATACAATGTGCAAATCATTAGTGCAAGATAACTTTAACTATAACAGTTGTTGCAAAAATGCAGCTGAACAAAGGATCAGCTTACTTTCAGGAAGAATGCTAATATTAAAGCTATGTTTACCTTATGGATCTATTCATTTTCACTGAATCATTAATCAATTATGTACTTGTATGTTTTAGCTTCACTTTCTAGAATGTTGTGTGTAGAGAGTCTTCTGAAGGTAGGGAAGGGCTCACCTTAAGTCTCTGCTGTATTGCATAATTGATTCTTGATTTTTGGATAAGAAATAATTATAAATAAAAAAAAGATCAGACAGAACATTTAGTTCAATTCAGATTATTTTTAGATGTCTTGATGAATGCCTAAACATTACTTTTTAAAGTAGCTCTGAATTACCATATTCTTTACATCCTAGTTTTCAAGGGTCACTTCCAAATCACAATTGGCTCACAGGGTCATTTCCCTTGAATTGTCAGAGTCAGCGTTTTCATGGTGGGGTGGCTAACTACCTTGTTCCCATTGTTCTTTTAGACCATGGAGAAAACTCATCATACTTCTGAAGCAATCTCCTGTGACATGTATCACTTCAGGTGTTAATAATTCAATAGCAGATACTACTTCTGCTGAACTGATGATCGCAACTACTTTTCAGATGTTTTTGGGTACAGGGCAGGCTTGTGGGCAAGCTGTCTAGTACGAAAAATAGTAAAATAACGTAAAGTCAAAAGATAATACACTCCCTTGCCAGCCATCCTTTCCCTTTCCCTTTTCGGAAAATCAGCAATGATCTGTAATCTGTTCTAAAAAGAAGTTAAAGGGAGGGCTCAGGGCAGACTTTCTAGTCATTTGTGTTTGTCCTTGAGACTGTACCTAATCCCAAGTTTGAGGTATCACACATTTCATTGATCCACTGCTTCAGAGTGAGCGCTTTTGTAAAGCCAAAGGCAATAGTGTTGTAGAAATGAATGTACTATGCCCTGCTCTTATAATAAGAGATGAGCATTATCAGCAGGGGATCTGACTTCAGTGTGACATCCAACAAAGTGCGAAAAACAGCTTGGTTTCTGAGCAACAGCTCTCGTTAAAACCTACATTTGGCCTAATGTCCTACTTGTATGTGTTATTTGATACTGATACTAATATATACTTATCAAACTTCCCAACCGCAGGCTGTAGTTTTCAGCCAAAAAGCTCTAATAAACCTTGTGCACTGTATTTTACATCCCCTATGCGTTACAGACATACAATGGATCTCATTCAAGAACAAGTTTATATTTACATCTTCCAACACTCACTTGTTTCCAGTATGGTTTTATTGTACAAGTGCTTTAAGTAAGATTCACCTTTTTTTTTGTATGCACAAACGTGCAGTTAAAACCAGTTTCAGTCTGATGAATACTAGTTATTTGTAACAAGGTCATATTTAATTAGCATAATTAACAACCCCTTTATTGCATTGTAGGAATACATTTCAAAACCCAGAGGGCCCTTTAGAATTAGAAAGGTTAATAGTAGAGCTTTCCACAAAGTATTTTACATAGTTAGATGCTAAAAAACATATTTCTATAAGCAGCTCAAGACTAATATAAGAGATCTTTAGATACATTACATTTAATTTGCTACCACTCTATGAATCCCATATATTGTCTTATATTATATAAGTTTATATGATATTGCCCTCCATTAAAGGCATAAGCTTTCATTCTAATTACCAATAGTGTAATGTACTTTGATTTTGTAATGGGATTGGAGAACCAAAGCAATGTCCAAGGGTAAACTCATCTTCTAATTCCAACCAATTATCCTGATGGGTTCCATTTAACCAGATTTGAGGGCTGTTATACTGGCAGCCAAATCAACAACAATTAGATCTTCAAGTTGTTTCTGGCTTTAGCACTAAATTAAATCTTTATGTATGTCCTTATTGAGTCATTAGTTATGGAATGACTATCTACGGGGAAGCTATTTTAAAACAGGAATCTCTGTGGGAAGGTACCATCAAATGTAACTGTTGAAAATGTGACTTTGGTTAGTATTTCCCAGTAATTCCTTAAATGTAAACCTCTCCTCGTAACAGGATAAACCACTCTTACTTCAGAGCCTTTTTGTGTTTGAGCCTCTTAACCGTTGATAAATGATAAAAGCAAAGAAGAAACGATATCAGTTATAAGACAGGAAAGGGTTACATCACTTCTCGGTGATATGTTAGACACTCTAAAGCAGTGGTTCCCAACCGGTGTGCCGCGGCACACTGGGGTGCCGTGAGCACTGTCCAAGTGTGCCGCAAAAAAACGTATTTTTATGTTCCACATTTTTTTCTCACTTAATAAACTTCACTTCATATACACTTTATTTTATTACATGTACAATGGAGTTCATAAGCTAATAAAACATATATTGCTCAGATTTAGAAATATTAAACAGCTTAAATTCTCATGATTTACGTCAGCCGTCATTGTTTACGGTGTGCAGAGCAGCTTTTTATCCTCGCGCCAAATAATTTCAAGATGGATCGTTACTTAGTGACAATAAATAAAGAAGCACCCCAGCCCTCAACAACACAGGCAGGGATGACAGAACATGATGGAACAGCAATGCAAAAGAAGTCTAAAATAACATTAATATCAGCCACAAGTTTAAAACACAGCAGAGCTCAGGATGAACTCGCAGAGCTATCTATGGACCGCTCCCTGAAACTGAAGCACGGGGAACTACGTCTGGATATATTTTGGCTGCTTGTGGGACACGAGTATCCATCCCTCTCAGAGAGTGCCATCAAGGTGCTTTTACAGTTTCCAACCTCCTACTTGTGCAGGCTGGCGTTTTCCTCACTCGCATATAGTCAAAAACAAGACCCGGACCCGGCTGTCAGTGGAGCAGGACCTCCGCGTTGCGCTGTCCACTATCCCCCCACGCATCAAACAAAAGCTCACAAAAGCAGGCACAAGTGTCGCACTAGCACAGTGTAACGGTCTGAGAAATGTTTATGTTTGGATGTTAATTTGTGTGCCTTTCTTATAAATGTATGATTTATGATTTTGTCAATCAGTATTATCTGGATAGCGAAATGCAGAATGTTTCATATTTGGGATGTGGTTGATGAGTCACATGACCACAGTCAGGTCAGAGGGCATTGTTTCATCCCTCCAATTCTATTAAGTTATTATTTAATCTAAGTGATCATAGGCCTGCCTCTTTTGAAATCCAAATGTAAAATAATAACTGTATTGATATGTATTCGTGTTTTTACACAGGTAGGCCTACTATTTTCAGCCAAAACAAAAGAGCCTACTTAGTAGGCCTGTTTATAATATTGAATTCATCATAGAAATGGTGTTGACATTTTTAGTCTGGTTCTTGTTATTATGTGTGAATACATTATTTGTTCTATAAAATGTTCTATTCAATTAAATACACATTTGAAAACCAATTTATGGTGTATTTATGGTTTTTAGTTTAAGCTCTGAAGTGGTTTTTAAATCTACAAAAAGTTGGGGTGCCTTGGGGTCGAGAAATATTTTCAGGGGTGCCTTGGTAAAAAAAAGGTTGGGAACCACTGCTCTAAAGGCCCTGAAACACCGAGCCAATTTTGGCCGTCGATAGTTGTCTGGCCTGCCGCCCTACTCAGATGGGTGTGTCCCGCACCGTTGTGTCTTTTGGGCCGTCCCGACACCTTCCTCCGCTGATTCAAGGCTGTCGGCAAAAGATATCACTCTGATTGGCTGTTCAGCTTAGCGAATCAGTGCATGAGAAGCGAAACGGAAGTGAAGAAGGCACACACAGACGGCTATTTTCATTTTCCAGTACCGCACTAAACATGTTTTCGATTAGAAGTCATTATGTGGAACAGTCTGTGATGGACGAGAGTGAAAATGGAACGCACGCTATTTGTTTGTTTGTATATACACGCAGTCTGTCTTCCGGTTGCCTCTTTTTAATGACGAATACACACTACCGCCGCTTGCTGGTAAGGACAGTTAATGCCACTCACACATGCACAGTGCGTACGTGCTACTTGGCCGTCTGCTGAAGTCTTTGCGGTGTGTTCCAGTGCGACTTTTTGGCCAAGACGCAGGAGAAGCGAGGCGACACAACAATTGGGTCCGTCGGGACGTGTTCTTTGGTGTCAGTTTGGTGTGTTAGGGCCTTAAAGCTCAGTCCTGTACATTCTCCTGCCAAGTAAAAACAGTCTCCTTGTATTTTCTATTCCCGGATGCTTCAACACTCCACTGTTCTTACACTCTCTGATCCCTGATTGCATGACTGTATGTGTTGTGTACCTCTGGGACTTTGCCTGGGTGTATGTGTGTCAGTGCTTCTGTGTAATGAAGACCACTACGTTGGTGCCAACAGTGGCTACTTTAATGATTGTCAGAAATAGCCTAACTTTAGCCTTGACCCAGAGCCACGCTTTCAAGTGTATTATTTAAATGTTTTTGCCAGTTTTTTGCTGGAAAAATCAAACCTCTTTAGTTTTGCAGCTGTAGCATGTATGTGAATGTGTGTGTGTAAGTGTGGGTGGTGTGATGAACTATGAGTGCATCAACAACAAATCAAGTGTCTAGGGACAGTAAGTTGGGTAACAACGCACTGGAATGTGTGGGGTACACAAAATACATAAACAATTGCATTATTTAGAATAAGCAGCTTTTAGAATGCACACACCTAACCAAAGAAAGCAACCCTACTCTCACTACAATGCCCGATGTGGACATTGGGTTATTGGGGAAAAAGCTCAAGGCAAGTGGACTCAAATAAATTCATACTCAGTTAATATAGTATCTGTGCCCTACATGTATATAACATTTATCCCCAAATCTCTGATGAACATGTTGACTGATCCAGACAGAAGGTTTACTGGGACCTGCAGTGATTTGCTTTCTGTATGTGTTGAAATGAAAATAATCAACTCCCTTTGTGCCAAGAAATCTCATCTACAGTTTTCCCTTGTTCTCTTTGACTCAATTGCTGAATAAGATTTTTTTTTAAAACAATAATATATCTCTGAACAATTTGTTTTTTGTTTACAACAGATGTAAGCTTCTTCTATCCGCTGAAACTATTTCATTATTGAGCCATTCCATGCTTAATTTTTGCCCAAAATGAAAAACCTTTTTCTTCTTTTTTTATATCAAATATATTAAATAATGAGCAAAAGCGCTAAACTGTAAAAGGCTTCCACCCACTGCCCTACACTGTATGGATGTGACAGCTACCAGGAAAGTTGGGTTTAAAATTGTATTTATTATTATGAATGTAAATTATACAACACAATGCTATTAATATGATGGAGAATCGTATTTTTGACAGATTATGTCAAGACTGAATTAATGTAATTTAAGATATCCAACCGGTGTTCTCATTTTTCAGTCCTAAGCATTATCAGCTTTTAGAACAGTCTCTGTGCAGAGTGTTGTCCATACTGTATGTGTGTGATTGCTGCTGATTCAGCTCCCTTAGGAACCATTGGAAACCCTTTTAAAACTTGATTTTCTGTCTTCTCATGTTTCCTGTTGCAAGCATATTGTGTGTATGCAAATTAGTTTATTGGAGTTTAATGTAAGGTGAAAGAGGTTCAGGAGGTGAGGAATGAGAAGGTCTGAGTGGTGTGATTGAATATGGTTGCAAGGTGAGGAACAAAGGATTAAATAGGGATTGACGGTAGGCATAAGCCAGGAAATGTGGTGGTGAAAAAACCAAAGGAGTGTGACTCTCGGTAGGTACAACTTCACAATTTAGTCCCTTGCTTCGTCGACCCCCTGCAGTTTCTGTAATAAGAGAGAAAGAGGTAAGCGAGCAGAAAGCTTATTTTGGGAGTGGGAAACGAACTGAGAGAAATGGGAGAGAAAGTGTTGTACTCTAGATAGCACATAAAATTGGATCAGTTAAAGCTTTGTTCTTGATATTCAGTTCAGTTCTTAACCTAATACCTTGCCTCACACAAAAGTTGTTCACTCCCCATACAGTATGAACCTCTCTAACGTCATTGTCAAGCAATGCTGTATAGTTTGTGTTACTTTTCGGTAAAAATACTGAGTAATCTTTCCGTATGGTTAGTGTAATTAAACCTCCATTTGTGTATTATGTATTCTACTAGTCTTATTATGGTCCTGTTAGGTCATCATCATTTAACATTCAAGAATCCCAGCAAGTGACCTGGTTGAGTGGAACATATTTAGTGAATAGTGTTTTGAGCTCTCTACCTCTGTTGAACACAAATGTTCTCTGCAACAGTTAATCAAGTTATGTTTAGTAAGGCCACATATTTTGTAGAAGACTCAGAGATTCAAAGAAACCAACCATTCTGCCAGTAAAGAACATTCGTCTCTGGGCATGGCACCTATATAATGTTTATGATTAGGAAAGGAAGGACTATTGTAAGGGGTAAGGGCTAGGGTCGGGGTGAGTGATTAAGGCACGGATAAGGCTAAGAAACTAAAAACTTAGGTTATGCAAGGTTAGGGAAACACTGATAAAGGGTGAATTCTATTTCTAAGTATGTGACTGTTTGCTCTATGCCCACCCAAGACCCCTACTTTCCACTTTGCTAAATGCATAGGGGCAAACTACTTCCTGTATTAGTAGTGAATGCTGCACATGAAGGTTTAAGGTGTTAAAGTATCTAATATAGACATTATCCCAGGTGTATAGGCTGATAAAAAGCCCCGCCGCAGATATCAAGTTAAAACAATTGTTGTTCCCCCTTGTGCTAAAACCCACTTTGTACATCCGTTATAACTTGATCTCCCTCTGTATCGGTGGCTAGAAAACGTTTTAGTTCTCCATTGAGAGCCTTTTGAGTACTCTCTGGTCTCCAACACAGCCCAATGATGCTTGAGAGTAGAGGCATTCACTTAAATGTAGCAGCACGGATTCTACCCTCAAAGGACTTTAGCAACAACCTCCACCGTTTGATACTTAGGCTGTAACCTTGTCCCCTATTCCCTCCCTATTCTATGTCCGCATTCTCTTGGAATGTACTTTCATAGCATCTGTCCTCTCATTTAAACGCTAGCTTTATAGGTTAGAATCCTTGAAACTTTCCATTTCCCAAGAAGTATTTCAGTATATTTCCAAAAGTATATCTAGCCTGAGAAGGCCCTTTCATACAGAGTTGTTCAAGGCTTCAGATAGCCCTTGTACATTTAGAATGTACTTATCACCATATCCTCTGTGTATGTTTAAAACCAAATCACAGTCAGTCAAGGAAAGGTTATCTCTGTGCCGCACTCTGCGTGAGGACAACTCTCAATAATGACCATAACAGAATCCCCTGAATGCAAAGCCTTTCCCACTAAACGTAACCAGCCTAAAAACCTATTAGAAAGTATGTAAACATGCAGTTTGTGCCAGAGATGGAGTACTCGAGTCCTGGACTCGACTCGGACTCGCGCACTGATTGACGCCACTCGGACTTGGACTCGTGGATTCTCGCGCACGATGGTCTAGAGATGTCCAGAGACACACCCCGCATCGTACTGTATGCTTTCACACATTCTGCTTCCACATTGGAAAAGAGCAGTGAAAAATGCTCGTTATGTGGAAACAATATTGAAGAGAAGGCTCCGTAACACATTACTCTAAGGATCAAGTTCAGACATATAGGCTGTCTTGAACACTATCATCAGAGTAACGTGATCTAATCAATAAATAAAGATTCAGCCAATAACACGAAAGCACATGGCTACTTAACATGCANNTATATTATCTAATTTAGATAAATAAATATTTACGTAATACATATATGTCGGGAAACTCACGTTGGAATTACGGATTACACCGTGCGGCTACTTGTAACCTCAAACGCTATGGGGGACGGATATGACGCAAATGACATACACAGACTTTGCGTACCTAATTACAAAGCATTATGTCGTATTGTCACAACCAGTGATATGGTTGACTGGAATGTATTGGACGGATATTATATAGCTACGACCTTATTAGTCCTTTATTATCTACTCTCTTTGTTCCCTGAAGTTAAGTTAAAAAGCAGTTACGGTCCCGTTCACCTCTTTTCACGTTTTCTTCGGTTTCTTGGTGTCGTTGTACTTAATAACGTGGTATCAACACATATGATATATAAGAACAATTATATTACATTATTGCCTCTGCATTGAATTATTATCAGGTAGGGTAATAACTTCATAATGAGCTACGTATGAAAGCAGAAGTCTAGGGCAAATGATTGCACGTCTCTTCAGTGCGCATGTCACAAAATGAGATGCATTGTGGGACATGTAGTTTATGGACAACGTGCTTCTGTAAAGCGGCATGTAACCGTATAATAAACGTATTATATCCTTTGCACGCTCTTGCTGGCCCCATAGGTCCTTGAGTTTGACACCCTTGATATAAGGGGAAGGCTTCCTACATCTCCATCTGGTGAGTGCTGACCTTCTCCTTCTCCCCCGCTCCCCTCCCCCCTCCACAGGGATGTTCGCTCCCACCCAGCGGACAGAGGGCATCTCCACCTCTGACATCATCACACGCATAGTGCGAGACTACGACGTGTACGTGAGACGCAACCTACAGCGAGGATACACGGCGAAGGAGCTCAACGTCAGCTTCATCAACGTACGACAGCTAGCTCCTGTTCAGCCATTTCTAATAAGTCATTAGCATCTTTCTTTTTTGATCTAACCTTTGCTGTCCCACCCATCATCAGGAGAAGAAGTACCACCTGCAGGAGCGCGTGGACAAAGTGAAGAGGAAGGTGCGTGACGTGGAGGAGAAGAGCAAAGAGTTTGTCCAGAAGGTGGAGGAGAAGAGCATCGACCTGATCCAGAAGTGGGAGGAGAAATCCAGAGAATTCATCGGCAACTTCCTGCAGATGTTCGGCCCCGAGGGCGCTCTGGTGAGGATGTTGGTTCAGTCTCTAATCGTTGTTTAACCAGGCAGCAACACATCCTTCTTCACACCGTCACACTGGTCACTGCTGCTCTGCCTGGGACATCTAGTAGAAATGTAATGACAGTCACCTCGGTTAGACACATGTAATAACATACCAAAGAGCACCTCATCCTACTATTTAATAATAGCAAATACACATTTCAGAAAGCATTCATTATTTCAGTAAATGTATTGGACTTATTTTCATTTACTGGCATACACATGTCCATAACCTTAAAAGCTTTGGTATGCTTACAGAACCTGCTAATGAGCTATTCAGACTTGTGTTACATCATACACTTCAATTCGATTAAATTGAATGCCACTAACACAACATTTAAGAAGGGTTGGTTCACTCCAATTGTATTCCTACATTCAAATAGTTAGCACTATGATTCATTTTGTACAATTGCAAACAGGAAAGCCCAAAAGCCCATTCAACAGTTAGAAACAAGTCAGACAAGACTCGACTTGTTCATTGACGCTCAGACTTGGACTTGGACTCGGACTCGAGCAAGTTTTCTCTGGGGTCTGATGTCCTCTATCCTGGCGTGTGCACCTGGGAAGCGAGTTCACGTACTGGGCCCCGCTATTCCAGTCTAAACATGTCTAGGACACACCCCGCATCATGCTGTATGCTTTCACACATTCTGCTTCCACATTGGAAAAGAGCAGCGCAAAATGCTCATTATGTGGAAACAATATTGAAGAGAAGGCTCCGTAACACATTACTCTAAGGATCGAGTTCAGACATATAGGCTGTCTTGAACACTATCATCAGAGTAACATGATCTAATCAATAAATAAAGATTCAGCCATAAAGCACATGGCTACTTAACATGCAGAATGACTTCATTTTGCATGCTCAGTAGCCATGTGCTTTCTCGGGCTTGATTTAACCGGTAAAAGTTCCTTCAAAATAAGAGTCCCGATCTTATTACTATCAAAATAAAAGTGCAAAACTAAAACTTTACCATAAGAAAATATTGGCATACAAATATAATCACTTCTCTAAAAGAAAAAAAAACTAATTTTAAATATAGTTAGACATATTAAAGGTCATTTACAATAATAATAATTATAATAATATTACTAATAAGCTTTATATTTGTATAGCAACTATTACAAGAATTGTAGCCAAACTCGCTTCACAGCAGTTCAATAGACATATTAGTATAACATGACAGGATGAAAGCAATGTAGAGGAGCAGCTACATTTCAACACATATATCCACGAAGATTAATACATGAAGACTTGTAACTCTGACTTGACTTGGACTCTTCTTAGGTGACTCGGACTTGGACTCCGACTCGAACACAGGTAATGATGACCCGGACTCGAACACAGGTAATGATGACTCGGACTCGACTCGGACACTCCTTGGGTGACTCGGACTTGGACTCAGACTTGACTACGACTCTCCCTTGTTGACTCGGACTCGGACTCGAAGAGTGTTGACTCAAGAGTGGTGACTCGAGAGTGACTTGGACTCGTGAATTGGTGACTTGACTACAACACTGGTTTGTGCACAGTCATGTTCATTCCAGTAAGCAAAATTCCAAACTGTACCAGTCCGTTGATGGTCCCATTGAAGGAATGGTTCATCAAAAGATATTTCTGAGAGCCAATATTGACTTGCACCTAATATATCTCACAGTCAAGGCAGTTTCTTAATGTATTACCTCGGAAGGTGGTAAAAAAAGGCTCGGGGCTTAACAGGTTAAAATGCCATCTCAAAAATTGATCCTCAGGACTCATTTTTAAATGAGAAGGACCTCCTTCTGATAGCTGCTTGGTGGCCTTTTCAGAGGGACTCCAGGAACACCTCTAACAGATCATCCCCCACAGCACCACAATCATGCCTTCAGAACTCTTTTGGAATTCCATCAATAGTGGTATCAGGGCCTGGGGATAGATGCTGTATGACTCTTGTGAGCTCCTGCAGGGTAAGAAGTATGTTAAGTGCCTCTCTCTGCTCAGGCCAAACTCTAGGTAGTCGGTGAAACAAATTCTCACACCACCTGTCACTACATAACACAGCATATCGTTCGCTAGCCACATTCCTTTGCATTTTCTGACTTCAACGTACCAAACTGTGGCCTCAAATGTAGAGGTTTTTTTTTTAAAGAAATGGATAGTTATAGGGATGTAAATGGAGAGAGCAAGATGTAACTTTATACTTTAAAAATGTATGTTGGGCTATGGGGGCATTTTACTTTGCCTAATAGTCTCAAGGTGTTATCTTTTCCAAAACTTACTAGTCTGCATTTTACATGTAGTTATTGCAAGAGAGTCCAAAAAAAATGGCAACCCTTCTGGAGAAAATGTGTATTTCATTCTCTTAGATAATACTGCAGATTATTCAAGTTAAAGCCAGTTGGAAAAAAGAAAACGACAGGCAAGCAAAGAGATACGCATAAAGAAACACAAAATGAGTGTGTGATGCAGCTTCATCTGTACTGTACTGTATATTGAAGCACAATCGCCAAAGCCTGAGGTTTTGAGAGCAGTGGCTTACTCCAAGAGTAGCAAAATCATCTCCTCTACTGCAGAGAGTGCATTCAACTGAAGCAGAGCAGACACACAAACTCAGACATACACTGATATGGACTGGGTATTGATAATGAGCGAGGCTTAAGAGCTTCAAATTGGTAAAATGGTAAGTGTGGGCTCTTCTGCAGATTTAGTGATAGAAAGAGACCTTGTGTCTTTTATTTTTGGTCCCGTGGGTCTGTTATTTTTGGTCTACTGGTGTAATCAAATGTGCTGGCAGGATGGAAGAGAGCCTTATGGGTAATGACCCAAAAGCCCCCATCAGAAAATACACAGACAGTTCCTACAATTCCTGGCAGGGACAGAAAAAAGCTGCCTGACAAAAAAAACAATGACTTGTTTACAAAAACACAAATCGTAAACAATTAGTTAGGACATGGCATTTCAGCCATAAATTAAGGACTACATGTGTACACAAGTGGAGGCGTGTGGCACAGTGGATAGAGCCTTGGTGTTGGGATCAGGGGGTCACAGGTTCAAACCCCACTGCAGTCAGCATGTCGTTGTGTCCCTGGGCAAGACACTTCACCCCAAAATTGCTCCTGTGGGGATTGCCCACAGCATTGAGTATGTAAGTCGCTTTGGATAAAAGCGTCTAATAAGTAACATGTAATGTAATTTGTATCATCATAGAGCAAATTGAGGACTGTAATTTTGTGTGACAAGTGTCTCTATATTATCTCCTTATCCCCTCACCTACCAGCCCACCTGTTCCCCATTCCCTGTTCATCTCCCCTACATCTTTGCCAGCACTCTTTCCCTTAGTGATTCAATTGTTATCAGCGGATGAAATCAGTGATTTTTGATACCATTCTAATGCATTAGATGGGCCAAAATGCAGTTAGTAAGTTGTGAAAGTGAAACCTAAAAAATCTAAATGTTGTAACTAGGGCTGTCAAACGATTACAATTTTTAATCAGATTAATCACAGCTTAAAAATTAATTAATGATGATTAATCGCCATTCGAACTATGTCCAAAATATGCCATTTCTTTATGCATTGTTGTGGGAATGGAAAGATAAATGAAAGAAGGCGGATATATCCATTTCACATACAGTATGTATGTTTATTATAACATTTTTCTGTGTGTCAAAATGAAAGACAGCCCACACACCTATCAATCATCAAACCGTGGGGTCTTAATTCATTACGTGTTGATTTCTATCAACGGGGGAGTACTTCAGGAAAGTCGACGGAGGGGGCTAGTGGAGTACTTCGTGACCACAGAGTGTGAACGTTGTGATCAGCTGTTTTAGCGCAGTTCTCCAGTGAAGGGGAGGGGTCTTGTTGGGTTCAGAATTCCAGAAAAGACAGACAACTTCTAAGAACACCACATACCACACACCACCACCTCACACACCCAAACAAACAACACACCACCACAACCACCCCCCAACAGACCCACGACCTCAAAGCGCGAACTGTCCGCTCAGAACCCTAGTATTCTCAGTCTCCATCGCCGTCTGGGTACACCTACTTCTCTCCTACCAAAGATACGCACATCCAAAACGTACCGAGAACTACGGCCTCAAAACACCATTCTCTCGTCGACAACGCGGGCCACTACGCGAGTTTCTCACACTCCTCAGGAACGGTTCATTATATCATATAAAACGAGAGAAATGTTAT